ATGAGAGAAGAGAAGGAAATATTTGACAACCTTTGTTTTTCCACAAGCCTTTTTAAGGGCAGCAGGCTCCAATCTGTGCCCTCCGCTCCCCGTACTCAGCCTGACCTTGCTGTCTCAGCAGGAGGAAGTCTGGCAGGAGCATGGGGCAGAAAAATGGAAAGACGTGGTGTATTTCAAAGGAAACCTAAACAAAACAGAAAAAAAACCAGAATCCTGCAGCCTGTGCCATAAATGAAGCTCATTCATGTTTTTTTACCAGGAACAGTCAATTACAGCCATGATGTTTGGCTTTCGGTAAAGGACAGTGTCTGACTGTTGTGCCAGGATGGATTACAGGGACTGTCCCATCAGTACCTACACATCCGTCTACTTAAAACGAGCCTTACCAAAGCCCTTTAATCCCATGCTTGCTTTCATTTCTGACCTCTCAGCAACCCATGAGCACATTCTGCCCAGAAGGTCCAGCGCTTCTCAGTACTGCTGTGCCCTGCTTAGAGATGAGGAAACTGAGGCATGGTACCCAGGAGCATCTTGTCCCCGGGCAAGACATCTGGTCTACAGAAGAGCCAAGCCCAGCCTCCCAGGCTTGGGCTCTTGTAATCCCATTTGTTGCTTCTCCACCTCAACTATAAAGAGGAAAGCATCTGCGATTTTGAACTCGGCCAGCGCCAAGAGCAGAAATAGATAAAAATGCAGTTTGATCTAGTCCTCGCTGCTGTCACATAGTTTATTTTGCAGAGTGCTGATTCTTTCTCAGCGGTTTTGCAGCTCAGGGCCAATTTTGGTCATTGATAGATGGGAGGGCCAGGCCAGCTTCCCCAGCACATGGTCCCTGCACTGCTGGCCAAACTGGCAGAGGCCACAAAGTTCAAGTCAAACTTCATTTCTTTCCCTGCCCCGTTGCTTAGAAACACGCCTATGAAAATATACTTTGTTCTCACACGCTACCAGTCGAATGCCAGGAGAGTTTTTTTCCTCTCCCATTCTCAGGAATTCCTGATTTATTTTTTGTTTCTTTTTTGCAATCGCACAAATCTCAAGAGGAGCCTGCTGGTCTCCCACAGCTCCTTGCAGCAGCCTTTCGGATCCAGGCTGATTTCCCGGCTGTGAACAAAACCTGTCAAAAAGAGCCCCCTGCGGCGCCCGGGGAGTCCAAACTTGAAGTGCAGGTACTGCCAGGGGGGTGGTTTTGCAACCAACCTGCAACCTCTTTCCTATCCCTCTCCTTGTTCATTCAACAGGTGCTCCCCATCCCAAGAAAACCAGAACCAGAGATACTACGAAGTTTTCACACAAAGCCCCTGCTTAAGAACTAGTTTCCTTGGGAAGAGCAAGGCAGGTGGAACAAAGTGGGATTGCTGTTGGGAACCAAGCACCAAAGCTTTTTCAGATGCCTTTGGTCTGCATGGGGCACCTGTGTCACAGGTGCAAGGATCGGCCCTGGTCTCCCAAGTGCTGCTGGGCTTCAGCTGCACAGCTTCACCTTCCCAAGCACACCGCCTGCCCCTGGCTGCGCGCACACACACGCAGAGTAAATAAACACCAGGGAGGACGCGCTCCCGGATACTTCACATAGCTCCACTGCCAGTGGGTTACTGCCCAGCTTCCTGGGCTCCGCAGCAGGAACGCAGCTCCTGATGTCTCCCTGCGTGGGTCCTCTTCCAACCCTCAACCCTTCCAGCTCCCCTTCATAAAATGAAGCTCAGCTTTGCTGTTTCTGGATGGTTTAAGGGAGTTTGGACATTTGTTGTCATTTGAGGGAGAGGGGAATTCATACACACAGAAGTTGGTTTTGCTCTGAAGGATGGAGCGTAGCAACACAACCATTGCTTGCAAGCAGTGAAGGGGAAAAATAATAAAAGCATCAAGATTTATTAGGTGCTAGGAAGGAGGAACGGATTCCCATTGCGTGGGTATGAGTAGAAGCTTGCTAACAAGCAAAAATGACTTTTTCATGGAAAAAAAAAAAGCAGGGGGCTTGTTTCTGGGTTGTTTGGTTTTTTTTGCCAAGTGGTTCCCTGGTCCCTTGGACATGCAGACACTCTCCCTGTCTCCCCTTCATGGTGTGGCAAAAATACAGATGTATGTGGAGGAGTAAAGGGAAAGTGTCCTTGCACAAGCTACAGGATCAGAAACGGAGTTAAATGAGTGCCAAAGAGAAGGAGTGCTTACTTTCGTGCTTTTGTCACGTGCAAGGTGCAAGTATTTCAGAAGCTTGGCTTGGCACTGGTGATACCACAGCAGCCTTCATGCTTGCTTTTGACCTATTCTGATTATTAGCAACACCTTCGTTATTTTTTGCAATCGCAGATCTCCTGTCCTAATGCACCTGCTCTCTTCACCCCCCTGGGCTAAAATCCATTGCCCAACAAAGGCATCCAGTAGCAGGCAGGCAGGAGGTGCAGGCTGCAGTGATGGCAAGGGGAAAGTGGGAGGCTGAGTAGCAAACCCTGGGGTGGTTGAAGACTTTGGGGATGGAGCAGGTGGTTGCAAGGAGGTGCCCTGCCCTCCCCTGTATCTCAAGCTGCAGAGGTCAATTTGGGCCCTGCAGCAAGGTGAAATATATCGTGAGAGAAAGGGGTCAGGGAGAGGGTGATGATGGAGGATGAAGGAAAGATGTAAGGGGTGCAACTGGGGAAGGACTGGGATGCAGCTGTGACTAAGAGGGTGTATCTGGGAGGTGGGGGGAAAAAAGCTTTCCATAGGTGATAGGGCAACCCCGAGGTGATGATGGAAGGGGGGATGGGGGAGGCTGAGAGATGATGCAACAGGAGGTTCAACAAGAGCATGGATGGAAAGAAGGATGGGAAAGCAGTGGGGGCATGGAAGAACAGCAAGGTGGGGGGGTGGTGGGGTGTAAGAGCAGCCGGAAAGATGGAAAAGCCAATGGGAGGAGTGAAAGAGCAGCCGGAAAGGTGGAAAAAGAAGGTTGAAAAGCGATAAGGGGATGGCAGAACAGCCAGGGGAAGTGGTGGTGGTGGAGAAGGAGCCAGAAAAGATGGAAGAGAACCAGCGGGTGCAGAAAAGCTGCTGGTGGAAGGGGTGGGGAAGGAATGGGGAAATAGTTGGAAAGATGGAAGAGCAGCTGCGGTCTGTATATGTGTGTATGTGAGAAAGAGAGAAAAATCAGGCAGAAAGATGTAAAAGTAGCCAGAAAGATGGAAAAGCAGCTGGTGGCGGTGGAGAGGACTGGAAGAGCAGCCGG